GGAAATCATCGGGGTGTGCAGGGAGCCGCAGGACCTGCCGGCGCGTGCTCTCGCGGTCCCCGGAGTTGTCGATGACGTGAGTCGCTAATTTGCGCTTCTCGTCCAGGGGCAGTTGGGCGGCGATACGAGCTTCTGCCTCCGCCTGGGACAGCCCGTTCCTCCTCATCAGCCGGGAGAGCTGCGCTCGGGTCGCTGCCGGGACGGGAGGATGGTGCTGAGATGGGGTGCAGGATGGAGGGGGTTTGCCTGCCTTCCTTGGCACAAGAGGGAAATGCTGGTGTAAACTGGGAGGGGGACGTGGGCCCTGCTTCATTTCAGATCCCGCGCTCGGATCAGCGGAGCCAGCACCCGCAGTGCTGCCCAGGCTGACCCCGCTGCAGGCTTTCAGCATTTCCCCAGCCCGTAACAGCGGGGCAGTGCCCCAAACCCTGCCCCAGCCACGAGAACAGGGTGTGGAAAGCCCAAAGACAGAGATTTTCCCCCATAAGGTGGTGCCAAGTTTTGGGGAAACCTCAGTAAGAACCCTGGGATAAGGGAATTGTCGCTTCTCACGCCCACAGAAACGAGGCAGCGTTATCGAAGGGCTTCACACCAGGGCTGCAGCTAAAACCTCACCAGAGCAGGAGGGACACGACGGTCCCCTCCAGCCTCCAAGAGAGGTGGCAGTGTCCCAGTCCTCGTGATTCACGTGGCACTTACCAATAAACCACGACTGTGTGTTTCATCAACTTGGTCAGTCTCTTGGTCTCGAAGAGCAGAGGGATGTCAAGGATGACGTAGCGGTAGCCTACAGAAATGACAACACCCCCCCCAAAAAAAAGGAACAGTGTTATTTGGATTCCCAAATCCCTCACGCTGCGCACACACCGCAGCCAGAGCCCGACAGCTCCGCGATCGCAGCCGAGAGGAGAGCAGAGCCTGTGTGCCCTCCTCCCTCTCGCAAGGAAGAAATGGTTTCATTCCAAGTTTGAGGGGAAAAAAAAAAATTCCAACCCACAAACCCTAACCTGGCTGATCTCAGACCAAAAGGTGAAACTGCAGAAATATAATGAGGAGCTGAAACAAGAAGCTGGAATGAAAGCGCCTGTGCCTGGCTGGCGAGAGCAGCAGTCTCGCCACCGCTCTGCCCTCTCCAGGGGAGCAGTGCCCACAGCACAATCTGCTCCACTCTCTCTCATCCAAGACTTCACCAGGCTGCGGTCATCTGAGCCGATGTTTCCCAGCTCCGTTTTCTGCCTTTTTTGGAAAGCTTTGCCTAAACAGTTCCATTTTTCCAAGGAGAGTAAGAAAATCCTTGCAGATGTCTCCCAGCTGTGACACTGAAATGTGGGGGTTCCTCCAGACAGCCCCAGGACCCAAAACCACCCCAAAACCTCCCACGTTTTGTTTAAAACCGGGATCACCACGTGGAGCGGCCGGTGGAGAGCTCGTCCCTGCCAGCCGCCGTCCTCCCGGACCCTGCAGCCCACCCTGGGCTCTCCACAAGCCACGACCCCAAGTGGCATTTGGGGACATTGGGGTGCGAGCAAGCGCAGGCGAGAGCTGCGGGTCCAGACCTCGCTCCCCCGCGTGTCCCCCAGCTGCAGGGACACCTCCAGTTCTGCTTGTGTCCCCTTTTTACAACCCAACCCCCCTAACTGACCTGGCCACGGCCAGAAAAGCCTTGACAAAGACATCGTCATCCAACCAGCCACCATTTTACCAGCCTCTCCGCCCGGAGAGACTTCTCGCTGCCCTCTGGTTTGATCGATAAGCGCTTTCCTTCCACAGCGATCCTCAGAGACGACATCCAGCCATCCCAAATCATTAAAACCTGACTAATGAGGACAAAGCAGCCTGCTGAAGACACCCGGCGCTCTCGCCGACGGGCAGGACAGCATCCTCCTCGCCAGCCCGCAGCTCCGAGTTCAAGACTCCATCTCTAGCTCCCGGCTTTCCTGCCTGTTGCTTCCTTCGCGCTTTCTCCTTCTCCTCCTCGCCCCGCAGCAGAGCGTGGCCCCCGCCGTGCCCCGGCACCGGCCTATTCAGCTGTCACAAAGCTCAGCTTTGATAAGCTCGGCGAAACCAGCCTGACTCGATTAAGACATCCTTCTGTTACAGGGAGACCTCCGAAACAGCTGGTGATGTTATCTGGCGTTTGATCAGACCGAGTTTGACAGCTGTATTTGTTATATTTATCAGGGGAAAAAGCGGGACTTTAGGAAGCACAGCTGTCAGCCCATTTCTCACCTTATCGAGACTAAAAGCGCTCCGTGGCTTTCAGCGAAGCCTGGGGAGGTTGGGGGTAGGGCAGAATATTTGGCCCTTTCGGAAGGTATGACATTATCCTGCGAGTAATCTCAGAAGAGGCCTCACAATGCTTTGCTCAGGCCTGACTTGAAATCGGAGAAGAAAAAGGTGGCGAAGGGCAGCAGCGAAAGGCAGAAACAAATCCTCCAAAAGGCCACTGGCAGCACAGCACAA